TCAGAACTCAGTATGTAACCCAAGCTAGCTTCAAACTCATAGTGATCGACCAACCACAGTCTCCCTAGTGCTGGGATTACAGGGTGTGCCACCACACCCAGCTGAAGAGATTTCTTTAATTCATTAAGCAATACAATGTAGCAGTGAATCTGGTAACTACCATGCCTGTGGAGGAGACTGACCATAAATATTTGAAAAAAATTGTAACATAGGAAAATATTCTTCAGGTTGGCAAGTTTGTAGACATGGCTAATACAGTACTTTGGTTTGTTATGGGTGTCATAATTCAAGATGGGGTTGGAGAGATGACTCAGCAGTGAACAGCACTGGCTGCTCTTGCAGAAGACCCAGGTTCACATCCCAACACCACATGACAGCTCACAACCATCTGTAACTGCAGTTCAAGGCTATCTGACGCCCTCTTCTGTCTTCCTTGGGCATTGCATGACATGGTTGCACTTACATACATGGAGGCTACACTCATACACATAAAATTTAACCCCAAAAAAGAAAAGAAAACTTTTACTTTAGCTGGAGGTCTTCTTTTCTAAAAAATATTTTTATTATTTTTAATTGTGTGTGCATGCATGAAAACAGGTGCCCTCAGAGGCTTGGATCCAAAGGCATTGGATCCCCTGGAGCTGGAGTGACAGGCAGTTATGAGCTACCCCACTTGGGTGCTCCTGCCCCAGTGAGGGTCCTTGGAGCCGAACCTGGTCCTCTGCAAGAGCAGCACATGCTCTTAACGACTGAGCCATCTCTCCGGCCCCAAGCTAAATGAGGATGTAGGATTTCCTCAGCCAAGGACATGAACTTGAGCTTAAGGGCCTCTGTCTAGAGCGTCTTGGGTGAAGCTGAGTCACGGGCTGCTCATTGTTTTCCTTAGAGTGGGAGACAAGCACAAGGTGCACACTCAGCAAGACAAACCTCAGCGCCGATGCACCGGCCACGGCTTCTGCTACTGGTGACTTGGTCAAGGGCCACATCGTGCTAGGCCAGAAACTCGGTCTTCAAATACTCATTGCATTACAGGAATTTTGGTAGGCAACTTGGACCCCTATAAAACAGACAGGTGAGAGGTTGCTTTCTTCGAGGGACTTTTTGCTTGTTTGGTTTTTTTGTTTGTTTTGTTTTTTGTCTTTTTGAGACAGGGTCTCCCTGGAGCTCCAGCTGGCCTGGAACTCGCTATGTTGACCAGGTTGGGCCTGATCTGACATGAGATACACCTGTCTCTGAGTGCTAGGATTAAAGGCATCTGCTGGGGCTGGAGAGCTGGTTCAGCAGTTAAGAACACTGATTGTTATTGCAGAAGACCCCGGTTCAAATCCCAGCACCCACATGGCAGCTAACAACTGTCTATAACTCCAGTTCCAGGGGATCTGAGAGTCTCTCCTGTCTTCCGTGGTCATTGCACGACAGGGGTGTACTTACCTACATGCAGGTAATACACATATACGTATAAAATAAAAACAGTAAAGAAAAAAAAATTTTTTTTAAGGCATTTGCCACCACACCCTGCCTTTGTTTTGTTTCTCATAAGATCTGGGTCTGGCTTTGTAGGCCAGACTGGCCTTGAATTTGTGATTATCCTGTCTCAATCTCCAGAGTGCTGGGATTACACGCATGTGCCAGCACACCAGGCTTGAGTGGGTCATTACTGTATAAACCTCATTCTGAGCACTTAAAAGCTATTTATTTTCATTTTATGTGTATGAGTGTGTTGTCTGAATGTATGTAAGTGTACCCATGTCATGCAGTGCCCAAGGAGGTCAGAGAGGGCATCAGATCCCCTGGAACTGGAGTTACAGATGGTTGTTAGGGGCCATGTGGACACAGGGAATCAAACCTGGGTCCT